ATAATTGACACTTTATGATAAGTTGTCGTATCATATATTTTGATATATTGTCGTGTAATCTTCACATATCCTTGTACATGTATGTATAAATCACCTATGTTGCTCTTAGTGGTCGAGCATTATGTTTTCACCCACGCAGTGCTGCAAACGTACCACTTGAAGATTGATTCATTTCGACTTTTCTTTGTCGTCTGTGAAAATAAATATTACTTTTCTAACTGATTGCGGAAAGGATAAAATGCAACTTCAACACAGTCAAGATGAAGATCTGAGAGAAGATAAGTTAAAAGGTCACTGTGGAAAGTATACTATTTTTATCACGGCGAGAAGCAGGTCTTAGAGGTTGACCCTTTTTATATAATAAAAACGACAAAACACTTTCCACAGCGATAAGCAATCTTTGCCAAAATCATAGTCGTCTGCAAGACTCCTACCATATCATGAAAATGCGTCCATCAATCACTATTAAATAGTGACGTCACCGGGTGTTCGTGAAAAGGTGAGCACAGTCTGCTCCATCAGTGGCATCCGTCACAAAACCACGCAAAGGCATGTCAATGTTCATTCGAAAACACATGCGTCTACGACAAAACCCAGGAGTTTAAACATGCTAACTGACCAATTATCAAAATAAGGTAAAATCTGGGATTCGAACCGACAAGCAGAGGCTGGCATGACTAAGGGACGCAACTCTGAACAGCTCTTTCCGGAACATATGCCACATGGCTTCCAAAGCCACCACTCAATCTCCACTCCATCCGACCTGCATATTCTTGGACTTCAATTTAAATCTCGTGAAACATAAAAACCTCTTTAAACTCTGAATCAGTGGGAAGGTCCATGCTAAAGATTACGAAAGTAATAACTTAAAGCATTTTATGATCATTTCTGCGCATTAGCGATTTCTTCATCAAAAATAGCCATAAATCATTTTTCGATAATGTTTTTCATGATTCAGTCCCAGCGAACGCAGGTTATGAAAGACGTCTTTCAGAATGCTTTCTGACATGCAGGCACTGGAGAGTAAGGGCAGCATTAATCATGAAGTATCTTACATGTAGTTATGATGAAGCACGTCAGAGCCGTAATAGTACATGGCAACATGCCTTGTTGAACTCCAGGGATTGCACGGTGCTTGGAACGTAATTCAAAACATAAATGAAACATTGCTTGTATTATTCGTGTATAATGTATATAATATAATAATAATGTTGTTTGTTTTTACCTTTCATTGTTTCTTTCATGATTGCCATCTGTGTAAAAATTGTACAACATTGTCATTTTTTTTACTTTAAGGGATGATCTAAGACGTTTTGTTAAGACGTTACATACTAAGTATCAATATACCATGGGGATGCTGAGATTTTGTTTGGAGACTAGATATTTGTTTCTACCAGGGCTGCAAAACATATATATATATATATATATATATGTCTTATTATAAATGTGAAATTAAATATTCTTTTTTTAAAAACGTTTTGCAAAAATGTATTTTTTCTGACAGGCAATATCTTGTTTAACAGTCTGAACCATGAACATCTTTTGAAGAACAATTTCCTTTTCTGGAACAATTTCTTTTTCGATAAAGTCCCAAACTCTTAGATCAAGGTGACCTTTCTTGTAAAATGCAATAGCCGTTTACGTTTCTCAGTGACATCGATGGTGTAAAAGATTGGCATTCAACGTGTGGCAATATATGGAAATGTTTAAACCGCAGGAAATGATGGAAGTTTCGCAAATAAATTGTACATGATCCTGACGCGATATTACTGCGAAACTTCACAACCACGTCTTTTCATGACGTATTTGGCATCTTTAAGATCTAATCTAAATGAGAGAAGTTTGAGTGTCATCAAACGCACCCAGACAATTAGATTGCAACATTGAAGTTCCACATTGTGGTGACTGAAAGGTCAGCAACGACAGGACCCAATTTGTCTGTTTTGTCAGGGAACATGATTGTTAAAACCCCCCAGGTTGTGCATGGTATCAGTGCCACGATGTCTTGTGAATTCCGGAGGATGTGCTGAAATATCAGAGGTAAAGTAGGATGTTCCTGTCTTCAGCTTCCTGGTTCTGTATTGGTGATTTCTTTCTTCTAATTACATGTTTTTGTTTCTTTAAATTCGAAGTTATCTTTTATTGTTCAAAATCGAATATACTGAACTGTAATTACACATTGCACCTGTGTTCTTTGACACATTACACTGCATTCAGCTGCTGATAGACTGCCGGGGCGGTCGGGTAGCCTAGTGGTTAAAGCGTTCGCTCGTCACGCCGAAGACTCGGGTTCGATTCCCGACATGGGTACAATGTGTGAAGCCCATTTCTGGTGTCCCCCGCAGTGATATTGCTGGAATATTGCTAAATGCGACGTAAAACCATATTCACTCACTCACTAACTCACTCAATCACTGATAGACTGCCTGTCTATTGATAATTTTTTGAGATTTTTGAGGTTTTGAGATGCATCTTTATAAAATACTCCTCTTCAGATAAGACACATATATGAACGGTATTAGGTTGCAATATTTAAACAGTATTCATCAACATCTCAATATGTACTCATCCTGTCGTAATATTGTTTGGCTTCTCTCATTACTTGAAGAAGGTACGGCGTGGTACAGTATAGTATAAAGCATGGTGTGATAGCAATGGTGGTTTCAGGACGTCTTGGACCAATAAAGGTCTATTTGCACCAAATAGACCAAACATATTTCAGCAAAAACGAAGAACGGTTGGTCTCGTTGTGCAGAGTTGCGTCCCTTACCTTTACCAGTACATGCTAGTGGTGGGTTTGAATCACAGATTCGGTCCAATCATTTTAAGTGTTTTGTAAGCAGCATACCCATCGCGATTACCCGTGTTACATGCATGTATCCCCATTCCATTACGACAAATATCCAAGATTCATTCGCAATCACATAAATTATCAAATATACAAATTGAACTCCATCTAAGCATCATTATGTTTTTCAGTGCATCTTGTGTGCCCTGTAGCTCGGACAAGGAAGGTAATTCCAACTGATGTAACGATACACTTTGTCGCGAGACGACACACGATACGATACTTGACAAATCTACACTTGAGTAAGTGAGTGAGTGAGATGGGTTTCACGCCTCTTTGAACGGTATTCCAGAAAACTCACGGCGTCGACACCTAACGGACTTAAGCCATGAAGAAAGGCCAAACTAACAAAAATACAGCAATAATGGTACAGAGCGGCAGAATGAGAGCTTTGTAATTTTGTTTTCGACACTATTTAACATAAATAATTGACCGTTTTATATCATACATGAAATCACGATACAATAACCCTATCGTTAAACCAAGTATCGTGATACACCGACTTTTCGGTGAATCGTTACAGGTTCAGGCTTTCTCAACCTAAAATGCTGGGCAAAAGAAAGTATACACTTGATAACTGGACTTGACCAAAACAATACAAACGTTATCAAATCGTTTCTTTGCTGTGCTGGGCAAAAGAAAGTATACACTTGAAAACTGGACTTGACCAAAACAATACAAACGTTATCAAATCGTTTCTAGGCTGAAAACAGACCCCGAAACACTGCAAAGTCAATTTCCAAAACATAACGATGCTACCTGTATCAAATACATATTAACCATTTCTCGTTTGTTTCATCTCAGCAACCATAAAACATGGGTGTATATTTCTTTTGCTCGGCAATTTAGATGCACATGTTTTGGTGAACGTCTTGTGTCAATATTATGAACGCAGGTGCTCCAAAATGCTTGATGCATCGTTTGTAATTTTTGTTTCAGCTGCGTGTGGCGAAGGTTCAATTTTCATCTACTTTACGCAATCCCCATATTGTCTGTACTTCTTTGATGTTTTGTTGTTTAGGTTTAGAAGTAATATTATCGATAGCGTCTTGAACGTTCTCGGATGCCCAAAATAGATAGATTCAACTATGGCAACTTAAACCAATGGCCTCCCCTGGGGAAAGCGATATCGGCGCTACGACTATTGTCCCTCTCTCTCTCTCTCATGCGTCAAAGTAAGCTTACTTTAGGAGCAGATCAAAAGTTGAATGCAGGATAAACTTTCATCAAGCGAATCCTGCATCGCATTGATTCATAAAGCTGGTTGAGCTTTCGAGTATGCTAGGTTTGACTGCTTTTGTCAGTTTTCGTTTCATACGATTACGATTCCGTTACTTTCAGAGCAAAACCACGACGATGAGAGATGTTAGTTATTGACTTGAACTCCGCTAAAAAGTTGATTTTGACGGTTGGAATGCTCCCAATCTCATTAATATGAGATCTTAGTGCTCGCTACCACTCTACAAAGATCTGAGGACAGCCCTATAACAGGACACGTCTGAACGACCTTTCATCCGACCAATCAGAGCGTCGCTTACGAGATCGCGAAAGTGAAAGTGTTTTTTTATCATACAAACTCGAAAAGGTCCACACGGGACATTCCGAACGACAGTTACGTGTTGTACGACTTTGTCCGAATGCTAAAGAAAGACATGACATCCAATTTATTTGAAACGGAAGAGACTTTCCACAGCCCGAGGGAAGTACTGCCATACAATCTATGCCATCGAATAGACGTTCCAGAATGTGCTTTGGTTTTCAAATTTTGAATCAAGAACTTTGTGAAAATATTTTTCAAAGCGTAGCTTGTAATAAAAGTCGCCATTTTGAAACAAGAGCCGTAAAGCTCGCTGCTTTCTGATTGGCTAATGACGACTACTTGTTAGTCATATCATTGGTCGGCCACAGTTCGCGAAAAATCTTTCTGACGTGACCTATTAGGTGATGTCCTCAGATCTCTGCGAAGCGGTAACGAGCACTAGGATCTGATTTTAATGAATATGGAAAAATCCGAAACCAAGATTTAACAAGTAAGATTTTTATTCGGCATCTAACTTTTGAACCGCTCCCTGAGTTGTAGCGCTGCGATTGTTTATGTAGGTTGACCTTCGAGTAGTAGAAACTGTGTCAAACACTCCAGTGATATCAGATACACGTATCAAGGTCAGTATGAACAACGTGTACACTGACATGCGAGATGATCGTACCGGGTGTTACGATAAAACAGATACAGACCAACACCACACGGAGAGAGCATGGCATCACATGAAGGTCCGTACTCGCCTCTTTCATACTGTGTGTGTGTGTTTGTGTGTGGGGGGGGGGGGGGGGGGGGAGTTTTAACCTTTACTGTAAAATAACAATGTAGGGATTTCGGGTCGGATTAGATCCCTTGCAACCTTTATGTATCGGGTGCTCAAGCTCGTTGAAATGGTTGATTTGGCGTGTTACCACAACCCGACGTCTTGCTCAGAATATCAGGTCCAGAAGCGATTATTTAAATTATCTTTTGTTGTTTGTTTGTTGTTTAACGCCGCACTCAGCATTATTCCAGCTATATGACGGATGTCTGTAAATAATCGAGTCTGGACCAGACAATCCAGGGATTGACATCATGAGCATCGATCCACGCACTTGGGATACAATGACATGCATCAACCGAGTCAGCGAGCCTGACCACCCGATCCCGTTAGTCACCTTTTACCACAAGCGTAGTCGCCTTCTACAGCAAGCAAGGGTTGCTGAAGACCTATTCTAACCCGATCTTCACGGGTCTATTATTTAAAGGCAGCCTTCATACAGTTAGAATATTGTTGAGTGAGACGTTCAACAAACAAACAAACAGTAATGTACGAAAGCTGAATCACGATGCATAGATGATTTAACATGAGTATTTTCTTATGAAAGACAAATAGATACAACGATATAAGGTTGATACGTTCATATTAAAAAAAGTCTTGTGGTGAATAATATTTATCATCTCATACAAGGAATGGTTATATTATGAATTGGTGAAAACTACACCTCGCTGACTTTCAAATATATCTGGGATGTAGTAATACGTTCTTGCTGAATTCAGTGAAACGCCTTGACCTTTGACACCATCTTTGACATGACTTATTGTTAGTTTGCTGGTCCGCCATGAAATAAAGATCCCTAAGATGGTTGTATTAATGATATACGGTAAAACAAACAGGGCATCTGAGTATGTTAAAAAAACTTACGTTTCGTCAATATGTCCGTTATCCAAACTTTATGTTGCAGTTAAACCTAATGTGGAATGGCCCGCAGCCCCAACTATAACAGAATGGCTTCAGGATAAACCCATAGAAACGTGGAGGAATGGCTTTGAGAATGATGGATATTTGGTAATTGGAATGAATATTTCTTTTTCTAAAGGAAATATTTTTAGAAAACTTCAAAGACGTGGTACATCTCATTGGCGTGATTAGGTCTTACTCTGCTTGGAAATAATTTCAATTATATCATGGCGTGTCAGCTAAATATGGGAGGAAAGCACAAATTTACGCAGGCCGTCGATGTTTATGGTTCGGTGAAACCCAGGAGTAAATGAATGACATTGCAGACCAAGGATCGTTATCAGGGCGAGTCCTGGATTCACACCATCGATCAGCGGAATATGGCACGGCAAAGGAAAGCGAATTGCTGAAACCTGCATGATATGTTTCTACTCATATGCATGATATGATTCATCCTTTTTTCATCAGTCACATTGGAGTATCTACACACTGATGAGGGTTAATGAGTATGAGTGAGTGAGTTTTGGTTAAACGCCACTTTGAACAGTGTTTCAGTTATATCACAGCATGTCATATTGATGTGGCGGTTTGGTTTGTTGTTTAACGCCGCCACATCAATATTCCAGCTATATGACGGCGTTCTCTAAATAATCGAGTCTGGACAAGACAATCGAGTGAATAATATCATGAGCAACGATCCACGCAATTGGGATCGATGACATGCATCAACCAAGTCAGCGAGCCTGACCACCCGATCCCGTTAGTCGCCTCTTACGACAAGCATAGTCGCCTTTTAGCATATTGATGCGGGATGTCTTAGACGATTAACACTTTGGTGTAACCCACGGGCACTGGTATGGTGCTAGCAAACATACATGTAAGAGACTCAGAACATGGATATCGCAAAGGGGGTCTATCCTAGGTTTTTAGCGGGCCTATGGGAGGCGTCTGAGACGACTGGGCCACCCGGCCCGTGCACTCTGTGGACTAATATTGTTATTTTAACAGTAAACACATATTTCTATACTCCATGTTTCATTGAGGTCAAATTGAACGTAGACGTTTACCAGTTTGTTTAAACCGTACGGACAAACTACGTAAGTGCTTAATCAATACTCAAAATTAATACTAAGATGCCAGAGACTTTTTGTAGCAAGTTTAAATGTAAAGGTATCTATATCTCACGTATTTTTAAATAGAACTGTTTTATAACGTATATTAATTCAAGTTTAGTATATTATCAATGTAATAGAATGGTGGGAAGCCCTTACTTACTTACCATGAACATGACATTACGTGCAATATTACTTCTAATTGAAACTGGCACCAACATATTTTATAAGACCAGAGACTACCATAGTTACAGAAATGGACACATATGATGTCGTTTTTGCTACCTTCCAACGAAATCTATATCAAAATAGAGCATTTACCAAATCAGTTCCGTCAGATGGCGTCTGTGGGGAACCCTGGCAGTACTATCTGTCCTCGCGTAGTTGACAAGAGCTTTATTACCAGTCAAAACCTCAGGAACCCTGTTATTGCACACACCTTTGCTAATTAATGTTACAGTGGAACCATATCTTGGAAAGAACAGCATAAACATACAAACGACTAAAGACAATCGTATGTTTTTCCCGATAATATGTAACCATTACATGACGAATGTAAAGTTTACGCTTGTAAGTTCATTTTTACATAAACTGCCATGTTTTTGACACAGACTTGTTGCTTTGCAGATAGTAGAAGATCTTCTAACGGAGAAGGAAGTAAAAATATATCAAGGCAAGAATGATTGAATCTTCTTCATTCGCTGGAAAATAAACCGACATTTTTCTTCTCAATCGACGCGCTTCAAAGAGCCCATCTATTCAACAATGGGTCGGGAATGAAACGCAAGAGCACTAATTTCTAGGCTGGAAATGAAACAGGAAGGAACTGAAATTGCACTCTTTTAAAAGAAATAGGTGTCATTTAATTTGCTGTCTCAAAAAAAGAGCAACTTCATCAGGCCATATTTTCGTATGGAAATTGAACCATTGATTGAGAGGTGAATCCAAATAAATTTATTTCAATGTTTAATTTCTTTAGATTTGACTTCAAAGATGCTGAGCGGGGAAATAGACACTTCACGACATCGGCACGATCTTGGAAATGCCAGTGAGTAGTTTAATAATTTCCTCTCGTGGAAACTGGGTACGTATTTTTCAGATTGTAAATTTTAGGAAAGCATTAACTTTCATAAAAAACGTGACACTTAAAATTACGCAAAAAACCTTTGGCATAGGTCTTCGTATTTTTACTCAGCTAAAAATACGCCTGACAATGAATGAATGAAATATTACCATATAAACTGCCGGGCAAAAGAAAGTTTTCGCCCATGTTTGATGGTGGCTAAAAATTAAGTCATAGTTGTGTTTTTAGTGTTTCGGCGGCTGTTTTCAGCCTGGTAATGTTTTGATGGTGTTTGTAATTTGTGGATTAAATCCAAGTGTATACTTTTAGGGGGGGCCTGAAGTTCAGATCCAGTGTAGGTAGAGGTGTCTCCAATGATACAATAGCCTTATACAAAGTTATACACATTTCATGGTTGATATTGGCATGGTGTTATGGACATATATCACTTCAGCACGTTGTGAGTCTTTTCAGCGGTAAGGTGAAAATTGAGTTGTCTTGTGTTTGAAACGTTGGCTCTGCACGCCAAAGACTGGGGTTCTATTTCCTACATGGGAATCATTCCTTGTTTGTTTTGATAGGGTTGGAATATGTCTTCAGCAACCCATGCTTGCCGTAAGATGCGACTATGCTTATCGTAAGAGGTGACTAACGGGATCAGGATCGGTGACTTGGTTGATGCATGTCATCGTATCCCAACTGCGTAGATCGATGCTCATGATATCAATCTATTTCCAGACTCGAATATTTACAGACCGTCGTCATATAGCTGGAATACTACTGAGTGCTGCGTTAACCAACCATCAATCAAACAAACAAACATATATGTTTCGATAAGGTTTGAACGTTGTATTTATTACATTAAGCCATAGTCTTGTCACTTAAATGCTAGGTTTGTTAACAGGCCGCTATCGCCTGGCAGGAATACTGCTGTACGGCGTGGGGCAACTCTCTTACACTCACTATTTTATGCAAATTGTGTGAGAAGGGGGTGCTACCGGTAGGGCAGGACATTTATCGCGAACACCTGGTGTCAACACTGATTTTCAGTGATCCATTCATATAATTATCACCTCTATTTCGCCTTTTACACCCAATAGCATCTGTTCGTCGGATAATCGAGACTGGTTATTCTCCGGCATTGGCGTTTTATATTGCTAAGAAACTGTGAAAACGTATTGGCTTGTTGAATGCTGGAAGAGGCCTCAACCCTGTCAATATATTCACGGAACATCACATACAATGTGTATCGCTTTTCACGTCGAAACAATGACATCATGCTGTTAAGTTCTCAAAAGACGTCATGTTGCTGCAACTGACCAATCAGCTTGAGAATGGCTTAAATGCACGTGTGAAAATATCAAAGGTAATGACACTTCATCATTCTTCGCTAAAGGGTTCTATGGTAGTATATTCACTTTCTGCATTTCAGGTGAGAGAAAGAAAGAAGATGTTGAGAACATCTGTCAGATCATGTGGCCAAGCTTGTATGTTGACAACCTCGATCAGGTACACACAGTTTCTGATACTGATTCCACTGATAACTGATTATTAGGTAATGTATTTCAAACGAAATCTCATTGTGGTGTCGACTGACTCCGTGGTCCAGTGGATAAAGCGCCTGATTTGTGACCAGTGTGGCAGCATCACATGACCCCACAGAGGTGAGGTGGCTTGGTGCCTAACGTCCAAGAATATTTCATTACAGTTACAGTTTAATATGATACCCACTCAGACACTATATACAAACACCGAGCCGACTTTCTTTTTTAATCCTCATCTTTTGGTATGACGTAGACTAACATTTAGTCTCTGAAATCATATATTACACAATATCCTTCTTGACTCTAAAAAAAATTAAAATATTCCCTATGTGGAATAGAACTGGCTTGAGCTGGCTAGACTTGCTTTTGTATGCGTTTCAAGAAAATACAATTCATAAAATAAATATATTCTACGGTCATGGTGCAGGACTAGGTGTGACGCGGCCGGGATCGAAACACCAAAATTCCCCTCTCCGTGCTGACGGTTTACTACCACATCAAGGAGGCGGATGAACAATGTGGAAACAATCCTTGAGAATGTCTATTCTCATTGTCAATTTGACTTCAGAGAACAATGCGATATTATGGCGCAGTCATAACATCCACAATCTTGAGGAAAACCTGCAGACCCTAATGAACGGCTGAGAATATTATCGTTTTCAGATGTTACCGAAGGTAAAAAATCATGGCGGTCATAATCGACAGTAGGCGGAACAATCGAATCTTGCCAGTGCTGTGGTCTACAGTGTGGAATTATCTGTCGTCTGTATGAGAAAATAATACTGTTTATGTTATTTAATTATATTGTTGATGACATACAAATGACAGCTGTACGACGTCAAATTCTGAGATAAACGTTTTCATGTGAGACACTAAGATCAGATAAAATATGATAAAAGTATAGAAGTATTTTTAAGTATTTCTTTCTGAATCACAAGCTGTAATCATCTGCTGCAGACAATGGTCAACATCCTTTGCGTGATGGGATAAACAGATTAGTTGTACATAGAAATAATTAATTAGTAGACTAAGTAATAATAATAATAATAATAATATAGAACGTTAACGCTTTAAGTCTATTATTATATTTTTGAGTATCTCTTTCACAAAATCAAAAGATTTATGGGAAAGGGAATCATAATATTTTAAGAATTTAATATTATTTTGGGAAAACCTTAGTCTTCAAATCTTTTAGATATTTATTTCAGAGGAATCAAGTTAAACTTAAACTCAAACATTTACAACTTTGATCAGGCGATTTGAGGATTACATCCTAACGTCGTTGTGCTAAATCATTGTTAGTGTAGATTAAGCTTAAATATGGTTTATATGTTCTGTTCTGATAAACAGTGAAATGAACTGTGGGGAAAAGTATTTGATACAAAATGTAGGCTGAAAACAGTCACCGAAACATTGCAAATGTCAGGTCCAGAACATAACTGCGATGCCCGTATCAAAGAAATTACCATCGAAAAACCATTTCTTGTTTGTTTCATTTTAAGCCAACATGGCTTGGCTTAAACCATACATGTATATTTGGTAATAAAATACGTCAACGTGTGGCCAAGCCAGAATATGTACATTACGTGTGAGATCCTACACTTCCTCACCTATCAATCTTCATGTATTTGAAATAGAGGAATCGGCAATATGTACACACTACTTCTTTGACACGTCTTATGTAGAATTAAAGACCTTATCTAATGCACAGCGGTTTAGTTCTACTTAAGGGCAGTGAAGGGGTCAAAGTACCAAATGATTCTGCGATTACGTTAGTAATCCAAAGATCAATCTTGCAAAGAGACACCTCAAACTCTATCCCAAATGTCTAGACATTCTAAATAGCGGACAAACACAGTGAAAATTACTTCCCTCCATTTTCAAGGGTTGTTCCATGATGAAGTGTAATTTAGACAGTCTTAGTTGCCGATTGCTCATAAAATACATGCAAAGTGCCAGGCAATGGTCGTCTCGGCATCAAGCCATATTTCAGCCATAAGCCCCATTTGTTCAATCCTAACTTCAAAGCATTGCATATCAATACCAAGGCGCCACCCATTTTCCACAAAAAGATAAGAGCTTTGAACGATGAATCCAAGTTGGGAATATGTTTGAAGTTTTTCTTTTCAATAGGGGCTAGTTGCTTTTACACAATATTACCAACTACATTCTTCCTTTGAACACTGTGGTCATGAAATGAAACGACTCATTTATATGGCCTAGGATTTCAATAGTGCCTGAAAATATGCCTTCATCATATTACGAGTGGTGTTGTACCGACAATATGGAAGGATGACGGATATAAACACAGGATGAACAAATGCTTGAATTTGTTTTTTCTAGGTATCAAGATCATACAAACAGCATATGCCTAAAGAGGTATCTGAAGCAGTAATTGTTAATACAGGTTGACAATGTTGTTTGCAGGGCCCTCTCCACATGAGAACACAAGCAGTCGCCAACATAATCATCGGAGAAGATGCAGTATTTGACTTTGATATGTTTTTGTCAAAGGTATAACTACCATCCTCTCACTTAATCAGTAGATTGATGCAGCTGCTATTGAAAGTTATTTTACTGCAATCATCTCAAATAGGCGAAAGCAACAAGAACATAACGTGGAAATGTAAGCATTCTTGCAATACCAAAGAGATATAACCCTTTTAACCACCTAATTGCTCATGATCCCAATCTTTCCATATGGACTTAAATATGAAAGGGTTTTGTCATTTTTGTTTTGCTGTACTCAGGAATAATACTGCACATGTCAGAAACTGCACAGTTTTAAGCAATATACTAATTCTTCTTAATAGGCTCCACACACCAACACGGAGACACCATGGCACCAGGATGAGTCTTACTGGGGAGATGTGGAGGATACTCGGTCCGCCAGTTTCTGGGTAGGTTGATGTGCAGCTCAACAATGTGCCGGAATGTACCGGAATGTACCGGAGAGATTTAGTTGATATGCTTAACGTGTAGTTCTCTTACGATCAATAATTGACATGTACACACCTTGTTTCCTTTCATTCGTAAAATCGTCACGTCATTAACTCACCCCCACAAAAAACAATTACAATGAGCACGTACTTATTAAAACGTCCCATCTTACATAAAAGCGACAAAACCCTTTCCATAACCACAAAGATTATCTGCTTAAAGCAGAGTCAGTTGTACGATGCCGACTGTATCATGAACATATGTGCGTGAATCATTATAAAACCTGCCTACAAACACATGCAAAAGGCAAGGCAATTGTTCACCTGAAAAAACACATGAATACATTTTACAGGTCACAATAGGGATCTGCATCTGGTATCATTTTGTCATTTATGCGTCAAATTTGGAAATGACATCCACGTGTCTACCGGAAAACGTTTTGAAAGCCTTACTGAGGCCTTCAATGGTGTAGCCTTGATCAGACGACTTTTGAGCAAGAGTCGTATGACGCTCTTTGAAATCTTGATAGAAAGAGCAAATTGTGATATGTAGACAGCAAGAGCACAGCTGGAGCTGCAGGGATATTGCTAGACAAACCATTCTACAGGTCATCGCCATTTTACTTTCAACATTACTTCTAATAGATAGTGGTAAGTCATGGAGACGCAGCGTCATGGTTAGTGTAAAGGGATAAGAGCTACTAATTGAATGGAATATTGAAGCTTCAGTTAAGAACGAAAGTAACGCCCCTTTGAAGTACACACCAACATTCCTGCAGTCTCCGAGAGTTTGCTTTAATCATCAAACTCCAAGCATTTGGTAATGTGTGAACACTCTTTGGATACGTTCTGAACAAAACATGGAGAATCTAGTAACATACAGTGATAGAACCAGGTCTTCTCATAATCCACGACCCGTGAAGATCCGGGGTAGAATAGGTCTTCACAGCAACCCATGCTTGCCATAAAAGGCGACTATGCTTGTCGTAAAAGGCGACTAACGGGATCGGGTGGTCTGGCTCGCTGACTTGGTTGATGCAGGTCATCGATCCCAATTGCGTGGATCGATGCTCATGATATCAATCACTGGATTGTCTGGTCCAGACTCGATTATTGTACAGACCGCCGTCATAAAGCTGTAATATTGCTGAGTGCGGCGTAAAACAACAAACCAACCTATAATCCACCCGGGACCCGCCAGGTCAGCCACGTTGACACACGTTCACGCCATACACAAAATAGTATGACGCTCTTTGAAACTTCGTTGAAAGTGCATGCTCGATTGTGTCTAAAAAGTTGTAACATGTAGCTATCGAAATAAAGAGAAAGTTGACCTACATTTGATGAGTAATCTAAAGCAATTACATTGTACTTGAATAAAAACTTGATAAAACAATTAAAGCAATTATCAATCACAGGTTAAGATTGGATGGAAAGTCATATGTTATTTTGTTGAATATGTTCGTCTCTTTTATACAATAGTCGCAGGTGCCCTTTTACATGAATTATATATAATATTACACTTAAAGAACATTCGAAATATTGTTATTACATGTTTACTTACTTCCAGTAACACGAAAACACTTACTTTTTCATGCAGTTTGTGTGAGTGGTGGATGCTACACCGTGCTTAACCTTTTCGCGAATACACGGTGTCATCACTTACATTCAGTGATCAATCGATACACTGTTTCCCTATTTTGCCTTTTACTCCCAATGGAATCTGTTGCGACGGATAATCGAGATATTCTCCGGCGTTAACATTTGTGTTTGTGACGGGTGTTACCGGTGGGGCAGGATATGCTCACCTTTTCGCGAACACCTGGTGTCTTCACTATTTGATAGTGATTCATTGGAACACATGCTTATAATATAGTCGGAATCGTACAATGGAGATTTCTTATGATTACCGAGTTTTTTGTCGCTTATATTTAAATAACAATCGCAGATTACCTTCATAATTGATGATAGGGATAAAGCGTACTTTCTGGTTTTGTTTTTGTGTGGGTAGTTTTGAGTAGACATTTTAGCTTACAGTTTACCATGGACGAGATACGCTATAACGGTAGATACCTCAGCCCTCTTAATATCAAGAAATCAAGTCATGTTAATGTTGTATTCAAGGGTCCAAGTTCGTACAAATAGTTACAGAGTGTTCATGTTAAACATTTAGCTGTTATCATATCATTCTAAATATATATATATATACACGAATGGATGGATGGATGGATGGATACTAGTAAATTCCTAAATATTTAACCTCTAAAGCAAATTCTCAATGTAATCGCCCAATGGCATCTGATTCGTATGACGACTTACATAATCTGACGTTGATCTTCTCTTGAAGCAGAACACATAACCAAATTATTGATTTATTTATCAACGGGTTTTGCGTTACTTTCTCTGAAAATGAAATAAGTGTACAAATATAAATTGAGTAATTTTGTATCTGGTCCAATGGTCTTGCTTCGTTTCTTCCTGTTAGAAATCTCTAAAATGAAATTGAATCCCAGTGCTTTGTAGGTCATTGTAATGTCATCAGTTACCATGACATCATAATCAAATGTCATCACTAATCTGTTTTGCCACTGGAGCTGTGCTTATCATACTTAAGACATTGGCCATGACTATTGACAGACTGAATGAAGAATTATTTTAGATGATTAATAGAATATCACCCTTATCACTTTTGATATCAAATGTATAGTCTTAACAAAACCCAACAAATGTGACAATAAGAATTGCCAGAAAGGTTAAAATGAATCTAACGCTAGTTTATGAATACCAGTTAAACATTGAGTGATTACTAACGGCAAAACGTGAAGACGAGAACCAATAAACAGCAACTCAACTCAAACCAGCGCTGATAATGAAGGGCAACAACGCAGTTATCTGGAATGCACGTGTATTATGAAGTTCTGTATCTATGCTTATGTTGTTTGGGTTACAACGCCACAACAATGGTGGTTCACAGACAGCACACAGAGACAGAACAATGCCAAGATTGACGTTCAACACAATAACGCCATTGGTCGATTGAAGGTGAGGTGAAGTGAAATGGGGTTTAACGTCGCGTCCAAGATTATTGCACTTATATAGTGACGTTGGTCGATTAGAAGCTTGGGCAACACAGCAATATGGGCAAGGCACTTCGCCGTGGCAAGACAGACCATCGCCAAGTTATGGACATGGTACAACGACACCGGCAGTGTTAATGGCGGTCGACGGTCAGGTCGACCCAGAGTAGCTACCGCCACCCAAAGTCGTTGTATCCGGTTGTGACGTCTACGTGAAGGAACAGCAGCATCCACGACTACCCAAATCCACGGGCTACGCAGAATCTCTGACCAGACCAACGAAGAGCTCGACCATCTTGACACGTCTTCTGGCTGAAAGTCGGCAGGCAGAGAGTGAGATAGCAACGTTGAAGGAGGGCCGTTCTTTTCACAGATGAGTCCCTCTTTCTACTCCGACGTGCTGATGGACGTCAACGTGTCTACAGACGTCTGAACGAACGATATGCCCAAAATTTGTGAGCAGCAGGTGGGTCAATTTGGTAATGGAAGAGTCATGTTGTGGGCAGGTATCCATCATGGTGGCTGGACGGCTCTCGTGCATGTGGCAGGTACACTGAATGGTGTCCGCTATCGCCACGAGATTTTGTGACGTTATGTCGTCCCGTTTATTACGCCAAAAGTTGACCTTTCGAAGAAGAAAAAGACCGACCTCATAATGTCTGCCAGGCCTTCCGACAGCAAACCAACGCAAAGATATTACCATGGCCTGCTCGATCACCTGTTTTGTCCCCGATTGAGCATCTGTGGGATGCTTTGGATAGCCATGTGCGCCGGCGGAATCAACCACCGCAGAGGCTCCAAACACTGCATGTGGCTTTGGCAAGAGTCGCAGAACATTCCTCAAAGCGTTATTCAGGATGTCATTGCCTCCATGGGTCGCCCCCGCCAAGGTGTCATCCATGCGCGTGGTGGCACAACAGATAATTACGTTTTGGTTTAACCTATTGCCTTTACCAGGCCCTTGTATTTTATTCGGTCAGTTCACGGGTGATCATGTCTCTGACATGTGTAATGTGATCCTGTAACGGTGTTTTAGCCACAATGTAATGTTTGTATTTATTCAGAACTCATAAAACATTTGTTAGTTTTTTTTACGAGGATACATATCAAACCTTGGAGTTGTAAACTATATTTAATATTAAACGACAAATGTTGAGGTTCTCTATTTGGGTTTGGGAACCAGTAGTTAGGGATAGTTTTACAAGCTAAGATGTATTCGTTCTCATGTCCCTCTTTTTTCCTAATTTTCACTAATATAGAATAAAATTTGTTTGTTTGTTTTTAACGCCGCACTCAGCAATATTCCAGCTTTATGACGGCGGTCTGTAAATAATCGAGAATGGAGCAGACAATCAAGTGATTGACATCAAGAGCATGAATCCCCGCAATTTGGATCGATGACATGCATCAACCAAGTCAGCCATCCTGACTAACCGATCCCTTTAGCCGCCTCTTACGACAAGCATAGACGCCTGTGGTACGGCAAGCATGGGTTGCTGAAGACGTATTCTACCTCGGATCTTCACGATATGGAATATAAGGTTGGATTTGTTGATACGTTGAGGGTAATGTTGGGGAAGAAATTTTGGCTCTTACTGATGGATCAACCACTGTTTTAATCTGGTTCAATGTATTACTACATTATCCAACAAGTTATCTTTATTCTCTAGCAACCTTCATTAACAATACCTTCATTGTTCATGCATGCTATTGCCAACACCTTCGGAATATAACAATATTTTTATTTCATATTAACCTTTCGTCTCCATTCGTGGGTATAATTCTGAAAAATAATTAACTTATACTGCAAGCCATGAACACTATTTGCTACAAGAATCATTTCATCTGCAAAGCCACAGATAAGGTCAACAATGAAATGCCATG